TTTGCACCCACCCCCCTCAAACTTTCAATTTGGCGCCCCCCCTAAGGTCGGCGCCCCCGGGACATATGTCCCCCCACCCCCCCCGCCCCCCCCCCCCCCCTCGCTACGCTACTGTCGTTCCGTGGTAAATTTAATCGCTGTTTACAACTTGCTAATGATAATTTATTAAGTAGATGACAAAACTTAAAAACATCAGTAAAAATTGATATTATTCTTCAATAAGAGGACGACGAAAGATATTCGACAGTGTTCGTTAAAATTTGTCCCTGTTTAACTGAAGGGTGTATTTTTAAAAATGGTAAATAAATTTGGAACGTTACAGAGAAGATTAGTATGGCCCCTCTCACAGAGATGACACGCAGAATCGTCAAGCGTTTTCCAAATTTTTTAAGAAAAAAAAAATGTAAATGGTAAAGTTATATCGCAGAAAAACGATGTCATCGTACATACTTTTAAAATTTTGATGTGAGATATTTTGTCTGAGATATTTTGTCTGAGATATTTTGTCTGAGATATTTTGTCTGAGATCATTTGTCATGGAGCCCAGCAAACGATGGTAGCTATGATCATGTCGACCATACAGTTAGGACTTGACAAGGTTAGATGGATTTATACAGCGGTTCACATCGACTAAAGTCGAGACAAAATACTAGAAACAAACAAACAAACAAACAAACAAACAAACAAACAAACAAACAAACAAACAAACAAACAAACAAACAAACAAACAAACAAACAAACAAACAAACAAACAAACAAACAAACAAACAAACAAACAAACAAACAAACAAACAAACAAACAAACAAACAAACAAACAAACAAACAATCAAACAAACCAACCAAAAAACAAACAAACAAACAAACAAACAAACACGATTGATGGATATTCCCAATATAATTAGTTGACATTATGTCGTTATGTTTCTACATTTGTTTTTTAGTTGACATTATGTCGTTATGTCTCTACATTAGTTTTTTAGTTGACATTATGTCGTTATGTTTCTACATTTGTTTTTTAGTTGACATTATGTCGTTATGTCTCTACATTAGTTTTTTAGTTGACATTATGTCGTTTATGTTTCTACATTTGTTTTTTTAGTTGACATTATGTCGTTATGTCTCTACATTAGTTTTTTAGTTGACATTATGTCGTTATGTCTCTACATTAGTTTTTTAGTTGACATTATGTCGTTATGTTTCTACATTTGTTTTTTAGTTGACATTATGTCGTTATGTCTCTACATTAGTTTTTTAGTTGACATTATGTCGTTATGTTTCTACATTTGTTTTTTAGTTGACATTATGTCGTTATGTCTCTACATTAGTTTTTTAGTTGACATTATGTCGTTATGTTTCTACATTTGTTTTTTAGTTGACATTATGTCGTTATGTTTCTACATTTGTTGTTGACATTATGTCGTTATGCCTCTACATTGTTTGTTATCCCACAATGAAAATAAACAGCACACAATTTTAATTTTTTAATATCCGTGTACAAGGGTGTTGTTAAGGCGTGAAATTTTACAGTGTGTGATTACTTTAAGTCGTGTATTTTACAACCTGCGTGATTTCAAGAACTATATTGTAAACACAGTCCTCAACAGTGAGACGACTAATGTTCGCTGGTCTAAACACAACACAGGGGTTTAAACATATCGATGGGCATAAACTTTTGTTACATATAGCATAGGGTGGGGGGGGGGGGGGGGGGGGCAATGATGTGAGTAAAATGGCAAGTAGTGAGAGGATAGGTGTGGGTTGCATGTTTGAGTGTGTGGGGGGGGGTAGGCTTTATGAGTACCTGCCCGTGGACGTGCTTTGGTGTACTCACTCGTGCGAGTCATTAAAAAATTGGCTATACGTCAAGGTCAGGCTGACCTGATTTTGTTTTGGTGGTCAGTTATGTAAACAATAATTGATCGATTTGTGTCAGGACATCGAGGGGAATCAATCACGCTTATTTCACTTTGATATATGCATATATATATATATATATATATATATATATATATATATATATATATATATATATATATATGTATATATACATATAGGCCTATATATATGGGTATAATATACTTACGTATATATATATATATATATATATATATATATATATATATATATATATATATATATATATATATATATATATATATATATATATATATATATATATATGTGTGTGTGTGTGTGTGTGTGTGTATGTAAATATGTGCATGTTGTTTTTTTATTATGTATGTTATGTCAAATCTACTCGCTTTATCCTGATAATGCACGCAACATACACAGCGGATTAAACGAACATCAGCGCTCATTTTCAAATTGCAGCTTAGATTTGGTCAAGATTCAACAACTGATTTGCTAATGTATACATTGCAGCTTTGAATAAGAAACCGAATTTAAAAAAAAATGAAACTACTCACGGTATTTGTCCATAAGTCCATACACAAGTGACTGAAAATGAAAACACACGTTTAAAAAAAAAATGTAAAAAATCACAAACTTACAATGAATAAAAAAAAAGATCACTTAGTATCCGTATCAACGAAAGAAATAATCCACTGCTACACTAGGACAAAATGTCCTGCAACTCGTACACAAGGACAGTATGTCCTGCTACTCTAGGCTCCGTAACCAGGTCTGAGTGTCCAGTACGACCTGCTGCCTGCGATCTGTTCTGGCACCCTACCTGCTCCCGCTGCCCGCTCGACGGGCTCACCCTAGTGTCACCTCGCAGACAATTCTGTACCCAGGTACTCACCACTGCGCTCCCTCCCTCTCGCTCTGTCACACTCTTCTCAAGACCAGCGCCCCTAGAGCCCCCACTTCCCCCACCCCCCACTTCCCCATACCCGCACCAATCGCTCATTCCAGGCTGTATTTTTTTTAAAAATCGAGTCCCCTCCCCTCCCTTCCCCGCCCCCCCCCCCCCCTCTCCCCACCCTGATCCTCCCGTTCCCACGCCTGTGCTGTTGCAGTGCTCACTGCCACCTTACGCATGCCCGCGCCTGCTTCTTGTTGTTCCACCCTCCGATAGAAGGGGGGGGGGGGAGAAGCCACCCCACCCCCCGCATCATTGACTCAGTCGATCTCCCAACCCAAAAACTTTACTTGACGCAACTCACTTTTGTCTATATTCCCTACACTATTCGTGCTGTCTTTAAACAGCGAAGACAATTTTTTAAACTTATAGTTTTAAAACTTAAAACAAGCAAGTTTGTTGCTGTGGTAGACCTTCGTGACAAGACCAACGCCACTCACTCAAACCTGGGTACTCAGCGACCAATCACAGCGCGTATCCGGCCCATGTGACATCAGCCCGCGCGCCGATTGGCTGAGAGTCGAGCCCGTGGGGCGGGTGAAGTAGCTACCTAGCCCGACTCGGGTGAGAAACTTTCGCTCACACGGTCCTGTAGCACGCGCGCACCGCCACGCGCACGGCTGACCTCGGCGGGTCACGCGGCACGTGTCACGTGTCACCTTGGCACGCGCTGCTGGGGGAGGGGCGCGGTGTAAATTAAGATGCGCGTGGCCCCGCACCGTCGTTGAACCGGTCCTGCTTTCAGGTGAGGGCAGCTTTAAGGAGCGGGGACAGGGGACACGAAGGAGGGGAGCCAACTCCGCAGGTAACAACAAAGCTCCAACACGGCCCCCTTTATCACTGCCAGATTCATTGAAGCCGCCCAGCCCCACCCAGCCCCTCCGCGGGCGTTGTATACATATCATTTTTACGTCGCGCGCCTGTGTCAGGTAAGCTCGAGGTGAGCACACACCTGGAGGCGCGTGCAGGGCCCCAAACGTGAGAAACCCGGGCCAGGACCTGTCTCACGGGGGTCTACACGTCTGCTGGTTCCAGTGTCAGAGCTGGACCACGCCGGCACCATGGGAACGTTTGGACGTGACGTCAGTCTAGTCGCTGACACGCTGGGAAATTCTGGACCTTCTAGATGTTGACATCAAGGTGTCTAGATGTTGATACCATGGTGTATAGATGTTGACATCAAGGTGTCTAGATGTTGATAGAATGTTGATAGGATGTTGTACAGATGTTGATACGATGTTGTCTAGATGTTGATATGGTGTAAAGTCTAGATGTTGATAGAATGTTGATATGATGTTAAGTCTAGATGTTTATACGATATTGACTAGATGTTGATACCATGTGAAGTCTGGACAAAGCTACAACTACCGGACAAACCTTATCAACTCTAGCGCCGATGCAAGCAAGACTAAGTACCTTCAAGCAAACAGTTGAACTGAAAGAAAGCAGGCATCATCAGAAGTTACCGACCGTGGAACCAATAGATGTAAAGACGTCACACGTATACCCCAAACTACGATGACGCCAATGGAAATTAAAACGGCATCAAGAGACATGTCTACAGTATATTTAAAAATCTCCGTCAAGCAGAGGCGTATCGACCCTTACCGGCGCCCGGGACATATGTTCCCCCCCCCCCCCCTCGCTACGCCTCTGCCGTCAAGTCTCGTCTCTAAGTCCACTCAGCTCTGATGGGTACCTGACTCACATTGGAGGAAATAAAGGCGGCTGTGCAGTGCTGACCACACTATCCCTTCATATGTCGAGGTCATGGTAAAGGACAGGTGAACTCTACTTCACCTGCCCCATGGAGCGCCAGGTTCGAAAAGGGTGGTAACTTTTCTGGTGTGTCGTCAGATTATGTAGGTCACGTGACGTTGTGCGCATGTCGCCAAAAATAAATCAAATCGTGTCACAAAGCGACCCGTCACAATGCCATTTGTCACTCCATGTCACACAAGGGGTCATCCATAAATGACGTCACGCTTTTTGGACGATTTTTACCTCCCCCCTCCCCTTCGTCACACGTCGTCACAAAAAGCCAGACCCCCCACCCTAAAATGACGTCACACCTCAGCCTACACCCCCTCTCCCCCCCCCCCCCCTAAAATTGCTGATGAATTTTTCTTAAAGTATCGATATTTTCCCAAAATCTTGTCAGAACTCTGTCAACATAGAGTATTTTGATCAATTCCTATTACAATTTATTAAAACCGTTTTCTAAAACGCGAAATAACGACTAAAACTCGTTTTCTAACTTTGCTTTTTTATAATGCAAAAGTGTGACGTCACACCATCTAAACCCCCCCCCCCCTCCCCCTCATCACACACCATCACAAAATTACGGACCCCCCCAACGAGTGTGACGTCATTGATGGACGACCCCCAACCACCTGTCACTGTCATATAGTCACGTGTCACTGAGCTGACTGTCAAACAGTCACCTGTCACTGTGCTACATGACACACTTCTTAATGTGCACACTTTCAGCGCATTTGTAATTCTTTAACAGACCCATCTAGACAAAAGACGAGTAGAAATCTATAAATGTCATTTTCGGAAA